GCGGTGGAGGAGCCTGGCGACCCTCTGGTTGAGTCCGCCGTGGCGCGCCAGCGCTCCCACGCCCAGCTGGCAAGTCAGGGCGTGGTAGCCGCGCTCGTCCGCAGCCCCTGCGCAGCCAGCTCCTTCGGCGCCGCGCAAGTGGCAGGCGGCCCCCGCCGCCGCGACTGGTTGGCTGAGCTCCGCGCACGGAAGCTCCAGCCACCGCCAGGTGCTGGTCTCCCAGTGGGCGTCGTCCAGCGTGCAGGGTTCGTCCTCCGGGTCGGTCAGATAGGCGCTGCTTCCGCTGCCCGCCGCGCCTCGCAGTTCGGCCTGCCCGGAGAGATGCAAGCGTCGCAGCAGAGCTGCGCGCTGGCTCTTTTGCACCTTCTCCGTAGCTTGGCCTTGCTTCAGGGGCGTCTGCAGCGCAGTCGCAAGGTTCCCGCCCGCGGCGAACTCCAGCCCTTGGTCTTGCAGCCCGCGCCGCGCAGTGGCCAGCTGCTGGGCTGCCCGCGGCAGCCGGTGCAAGCAGTCCCGTTGCCTGGGTCCTCCGTGGCCTCCTCCGCCGCCAGCGTCCAGGAGGCCAGAAAAGCCGCGTGGCGGCGCGTGCTAGCCAGCTGCGCGCCCAGGCCTCCGAAGCGGGCTGGGAGGCCCAGCAGCTCCGTGGCTGCGTCGCCGAGGTCCAGCCCAAGCAGGTCCTGCCAGCAGTCTGCGAGAAGGTTGTTATACTGCTGTGTCGCGGCGTCCGTGGCGAGTTCCATTCGCAAGGAGGGCTGGCTTGCCGGGCCCGCGCAGGCGCGGTAGAGGGCTGCCGCCGCGTGCTTTTGAACCCTGCCTTGTACAGCTTCTTCTTCTTCTTCTTCTTCAGCTCTTGGTAGAGCGTCTGCAGCTTCCTGCTTGCTTCGGCGAGGCTGTTCGCCGGTTTCCCAAGGGCGGCTGGCGCGCTGTTGTCGGCGTGGCTCGGCGGTCGCAGGTGCTTGCCCAGCCTAGGCAAGCTGGGCACCCAGCGCGCCTGCAGCTCTTCCGTGAGCCATGTCCGCCCGGCTGGGGACCAAGCAGGAGTTCTCGTGGCGTTCAGTTGCAGCCCGAGGGGCTGGAATCCAGGGCTTTCATTGCGAGAGCAGCCAGCGCGGCCTCCTCCACCAGGTGCAGTCGGACCGAAATACAAGCTCGAGGTCGGTTCGTGGAGGGTACCCTAGTGTTCTTCGTGCTTGTTGGATGTTCTTGTGCATCGTGGGGAGACCCTTGGATGTTCTGTGTGCTTTGGCCGACGGAGGGTCCCATGTTCTTGAGGGGTGTTCTTCTGGCTTCGGTCCGACTGTAGGAGTCGTCCAGGTAGCTGTACAGCTGCGCCTGCGGGTCCGAGCGGCGCAACTATCCGTGGAACCTGTCCAGGGCAAAAACGACCACCACGGAGAATGCCGCGGGCGACAAAGGGGCCCCCTTGGTCGACCCCCTTCCCGCTCTGGAGCGAGTGGAAACGACCCCCCGCGCCTCGCCAGAGGTGCCTCGCGCAGGCCGTCCGTGCCAGGCTTGGGGGGCCGCCGCGGCCGCCTTGCCTCGCTCTGCCGCGGCTGTCCCAGCGGGCGCCCCTTCTGCAGAGGGGGAGTTGAGGCGGCCTCTCCGGGCCCAGCCTCTGGAAAAGCCTGCCGTGGGCCTGGCTTCCGCCTGGGCCTCCAGCTCCTCCGCGGCAGGCGGCTCGAGGTGCCGCCTGGCCCGGCCCGGCCCCGTGCGGCCTGCCTCCCGCTGCGGCGCGGAGGTGCTCCTCCCTGCCCCGCGCCAGTGCCCCTGCAGGCCCAGGCGGCGCACCGTGGAACCCACGGTGGGCGGCCGCACGCGGTCGCCTCCCCTGCGGAGCGCCGTGGCCTCCCCGGTGCGGAGAACTGCCAGGGCCTCTCCGGGCAGCATGCCGAAGGCGATCCACGAGACAGCTTCGGAGAGCCACCCCGACGTCTCGGCGCACGGCTTCGCGTCTCCGAGGTGGTCCAAGCGGCAGCCGAGCAGCTCAGGCGCCGAGGGGCGGGGCGGCTTCAGCAGCAGCTTCACTGTCTCCCCCTGGACGCTCTCGAAGATCTCCGGCGGGGGCAGTGGGACGCCCTCCGGCGACGGCGCGGGCTGAGCAGGCGCGGCGAAGCACGCCATGATCTTCGTCAAGGTTTCTTGGGCACGTGGGGCCAGTCTGCTGCTGGCCGTGGCTCGCAGTGCTGGGCCTTCTCCTCCAGCTGCTGCAAGGGTGTGTAGCCGCGCCGCCCTTCGCTTGTCGCTGTTCTTTCAGGAGGGGAAACACACAGACACAATTAATCGTCGACTCCCAGGACAATATGGGAAAATGTGGGAAGTGGGGGGGACGTCGAAAACCCAGAAAATATGTGAAACATATGGGGAATCCTGGTATTTGCGTGTATTTAGTTGTGTGTTTGTGGGCGCCTTCATTCTTGGCGGCCACCAGTGGGATCTTTCGCCAGCGCTGGTCGGACGTCCAGAGCGCGTCCACTTGGGCCCCCCTAGAGCCACGCGAGGCGCTCCTCCCGCACCTCTGCGCACGTCGCGGCCTCGTCGCTGGTGCTGAGGAGGAGGAGGAGGAGGAGGAGGAGGAGGAGGAGGAGGAGGAGGAGGAGGAGGAGGAGGTCCAGCACCAAAAACAGCTTCTACTCATTCTTCGCTTCCCTGCCTTCCCAGGGCGTACCGAAGGACTTCCAAAGGCTTCTGGCGCACCTGAAGGACGGCGCCGCGTAGTCCGTCCAGGATCTGCGCGATGTAGTGGCCCCGGTGGTTAACAAGTCATCCCATGGAAGGCCCGCCCACCAATCCCGGCCAGGTAGCTGGTTGTCGTCCCAAGCTGGGTGCTGGATGGGCTGGTGCTGCTGCTGCGCCGGTGGCACGCTTCAGCGGCGATTTCTTCTCCGTCCGGAGCCTCGCGCGCTGCCGTCTGCGTTCGCGCCGCCTCGACGCTCGTAGCATCGCCTCTCTCATGTGGCCAGATCTCCGCACCAAGCGGCAGCCGGCCCTGCACACAGGTAGTGCACATCAAGCGTGAAAAAGTGCGGCTGCCCCATGTGCACAAGCGCAGCTCGCCTTTCTCAAAGACCAGGCCGCAGGACCTGCAGGTGGCCGGTCGCGCAGATGCTCCCTGCACGTTGAATGCCCACACCGCTGCCCGAAACTGGGATGCCAGCCGGGCGCTCCTCTCGTGTCCTCCTGCTCCTCTTCCTCCTCCTCCTCCTCCTCATCCCTCCTCCTTCCTCCCTCCTCCCTCCTCCCTCCTCCCTCCTCCCTCCTCCCTCCTCCTCCTCCTCCTCCTCCTCCCTCCTCCTCCTACTGCATCCACCTCCATCGCGTCCTCCTGCTCCTCCCTGCCCGGGTCCTGGCGTCGCCGACCGCTGACAGCTTGCGCGCCTCGGCGGCCCCTGGGGCACGTCGACTTCCATACCGGCGCGCTCGCGCGCGAGGAGCCCGGCCCTGGCGGCGGCACGCCCGCTCCGGCCGCCTTGCGCCGAAGAGGAGGAGGAGGAGGAGGAGGAGGAGGAGGAGGAGGAGGAGGAGGAGGAGGAGGAGGAGGAGGAGGAGGAGGAGGAGGAGGAGGAGGAGGAGACAGCAAACACGGGCGGCCAGGCAGAGGGCCGGAGGGAGGGGGGGCGGGGGCGGGGTCGGATGTCGTGGGAGTAGCCGTCGAGGCAGTGGTCGTGGAGGTCGCGGTCGTCGTGGTGGTAGTCGTGGCGGTCGTCGTGGTTGGTTGTGGAGGTGGTTGTGATGGTCGTGGTCGTGGGCAGCGTGGTGCCGTCGTGGCGGTGGTCGTGGTGGTCGTAGTGGTGGTTGTGGTGGTGGTGCTGGTCGTGGTCGCGGTCTCTCTCTCTCTCTCTCTCTCTCTCGCTCTCCCTCTCTCTCTAGCCACCCCCATACTCTGATGCCAGCGAGCCTCAGAGCGCTTCCCCCTCTCCTCGCCCCCTCGCCTTCTGCCCCGCGAGGTGGGCGGAGCTGCACCCCGCCGTCGTGGTGGGCCCGCGGGGCGGCCTGGGCCTCCGCGGCCCAGCGGGGCAGTGGGACGCGGCCGGGGGGGGGGGGGTCGCCCACCCAACCCCCACGGTCTCCTCGTGTGGGTGTTTCTGACCCGGGCCAAGCCCACCCCCCTCCTCGTCCTCCTCCTAAATCGACGTGTATGCCTGACGGCAGTTACCGATGATAGTGGGCGCTCCGCATGTGACCCTGACGAGCGCGTTGACCTGCTGAAGAGCTACTGGGGCCCCGTCTTCTCCAGGAAACCCTGGGACCGCGACAGAGCCGTCGAGCATGCTGCCAAGTACTTGCCTACTGTTGACGATGTTGTTCTCCCCCCTCCCACACCACGCCTCCTTCGGGCTGTTCTTGCGCGTGCTGCTGACTCCGCCACTGGTTGTGACGGGCTCTCCTACACGGCGTGGCGCTCCATACCCTTTGGTGCGACCATCCTCTGGGACTGCCTCGAGTGGGTGATGAGCGGTCAAGCGTTGTTTGACTCTGCAAGCACGACTCTCCAGGTCTTTTTGCCCAAGAACGTGACCGAGGATGAGGCCCAAGCTGGCCAAGTCGCAAGAGGGGGCAGACAAAGTGAGGGTGCTCGGTCTCCGCAATTGTGACGTTAAGGTCCTCTCGGCTACCATGAACGCCGCCCTCCGCCCCGTCCTCGAGCGCGTTGCCCCACCCTGTCAGAGAGGCTTCGTCCCTGGGAGGAACTTCGGCCTGAACGTTCTGGAATTGGACGTTTCGAGTCGCCAGCTCTCATGTACACCGCATGGCTCTCGGGACCTGCCCATCCTGTATAGCCTGGACTACGGCCAGGCCTTCCCCTCCCTGAACCAGGAGTTCGTGCTGTTTATCCTTGGGGCGCTGCGTCTTCCTGAGGCCATGTTGAAGTTCGTGGGGTTCCTCTATGAGGCCATCGAGGGTGTTGCGGTCTCCATGGGGCTCCGTGTTCACCTGTACTGGGTCCGCAGCGGGATCATCCAGGGGTGTGCCCTCTCAGGTTCTCTTTATGCGATTGCATCGTCCACGTTTTTGTACCACCTCGTGCGCGTGATCGAAGAGACGGGCCGCGGGCTCGTGCGTGCGTGCGCCGACGACATCGGTGGCACGTTGATGAGCATAGAGGACTTGGCCTGGGTCGCCCTCGTGATGAGGGAGGCGGAGTTGGTGGCGAACCTTGTCCTGAAGATTCAGAAGTGCCATATTGTGCCCCTGTCAGCCTCATTTAGTCCCGCCCTCGCGTCGGAAGCTCTTGGGAGGCTCACTCGTACGGTGCCCCACTGGTCCGCCATGAAGATCGTCTCGGAGCTCCTGTACCTTGGGATATGGTTGGGGCCCTCTGTGGACTCCATGAAGCCCTGGGTTGACCCACTTGCTAAGGCGCGGCTGCGGGCTCGAGCAGTCGGACGAGGCGTCACCCCTGCTAGCCTCTCTTCCATCATCTACAATACTCGTATTGTCAGCACACTCTCATATGTCAGCCAGTTCTTTTGGATGCCGCGAGCCGTCCTCGCATGCGAGCTGGGTGTGCTTGCACAGGTCTTTCGTGTTGCGCTGGGCACCTTCCCGCTGAGTGCCTGGGTGCAGATGGGCCGCTGGCGTGGTCCGCGTGCTCTGAGCTGGGCTCACCTCAACGCAGCGTCCCTGCTGCGGGCGGCCGCCCACACCTTCCCCGAGCACCAGAGGCTGCTGGACGACATGAGGACCCACGCGTGTACGCTCGCGGACTCCAGGACGCTATACATGGTCGGCTCTGGTGCGCTGTATCCTGGTTTCTGGCGGAGCCCCGCCATTGTGGAGAACCTTGCTCTGGCCTTGGATGGGCCCGCCCCTGCTGGGCCGTGGGCCTCGCTTCTCCCTCGTGCTCGTGAAGCGCTTGCCAGTGCTGCCGAGGCCCCTCCTGGTGTCCGCCCCCGCCCCCAACGTGCTGTTCATCGTGCTCTTCGTGACTTGGCGGCCTCTGCCACGCCGCTGCACGACTTTCTCCGCGCACGGCTTCAGAAGTTCTTCTTCCCACGTCACGGCGCTCTCCTCGACCTGATCGACTGGCAGCGCGTCTCGGCCACGCTCAACCTGTGCCCCTGTTCATGGGTGTGGGCCGCTCTGAGGACCTGGTGCGATGGCTGGCTTACCTCATCTCGCATTCCCCACCCTGCAGGCAGGCGCGGCTGCGCCCTAGGGTGTCACAACTGTCCTGACTCGCTTCTTCACTACTCAAGATGCGTTCGGATGCATACTGCGTTGCGCCGTGCCCTCGGGCATGGCTTCCCGCTGGAGCTTGCTGAGGGATGGGGCCTCGTCGCGCCCTCGACTGCCGCCTTCGGCTTCATGGCCGCCGCGGTGGGCATGTACAACACGATCCGTCTGATCCCCGACTGGCCGATCTCGGAGCAGGACGCGCTGAGTGCTGCACTGGCTGGAGTGAGGAGCATGCGGATGGCCTCAACGGGTGCCCTGCCTGGCGACGCACCACTACATTGGAGCGTCCGCTTTATTACGAGACGAAATCGGTGCCCGTCTTCCTCTTCCTCGCCCTCCTCTTCGTCTTCATCCACATCGTCCTGTGCCGACGAGGTTGGCCCAGACACTGCCAGCGGCCCTGACCTGGTGACGACGATGACCACCGAGCTGCAGAGCTCTGACTCAGATGCGGACGATCTGGTGTCATTCGACTTCTCCCCGTGCACTACGCTGGCGACGCCTGGGACTCCGTCGACTGCCGTTAGCCACGCACACGATATGTATGATCGCGACTGGGAGCGTCCGACCCCGCCCGAGGTCAGAACGCAAAGTCCTGTCAGCGGGTGCTCCTCGAACCCGGCTGTACAGGCTCAGCGAGTAAGTTGCGAGGAGGGGTCTCGCCTTCCCACTGAGCTCAGAACGCAAAGTCCTGACGGTGGGTGCTCCTCGAGCCCGCCGCTTCAGGCTCTGAGAGTATCTTGCGAGGGTGTCTCGGTTGGAGGGTGCGTGGCTCTTCCCACGTGCCCCCCGCCTTCGGAGAAGATCAGATCGCAAAGCCCTGCACACGGGTGCTCCTCGAACCCTGGGTTGCAGGCTATCACAAATTGTGAGAATGATACTATCAGGTCTATTGCTTCGCGAGTTGCCAGATCTTCTCCCCGCGGATGGATTTGGTCGACGACTCCCTGGGGTGCGTCGTCGGGCTCTCAGATGCGGTCTCCATCAACCCTGAGAACGGCTGCGGACCCACGGACGCCGCCCCGCTCGATTTCGTCCTCTGCCTCGGCCTCGACCTCTGACCCGTGCGCATGCCTTGTCAGCGTGCCCCTGCTCGGCGCCCCCTCTGTCCATTCCCTGTCCCCGCCCGCTCACGCCCGCCCCGCCGTGGCGTGCTCTCCTCGGCCCTGGCACTTTCTTTCTTTGTCTGATCTGTTCTCTCCTCCTGGTCCTTCGCTCGCGACCACTGCCTCTGCTGTTGCCTGCCCCTCGCCTTCTCCCCCGCCCCTCATTGCGAATCATTCTTCACGTCGCTTGTCATCCGTCTACACTTCAAGTGAATGCGGCCTGCCACCGCCGCCCGTCGACTCCTCCGACGTGGCCGTCGTCGGCTACCTCAAGGCAGGTGCGCCGCTCCCCGCCGCCGCCCCGCAGGCCAATGGGGCTGGGGGTGCCTAGGTGAGGATCGGGGACTCCTCCCTACGCTCGTCTCCTCCATGCCCTTCCCTTATAAACAGCTCCTCCCTGTCGCAGCCGCAGGCGTGTCCGTAGGCTAGGCCGGGCGTTTCGCTGCAGACGTCTTCATCATTGATGACCCCGAAGCTTGAGATCTCGAAATGTCTCAAGGACGAGTGGCGGGCCGTTTTCAAAATGTGACTCTGGCCTTAGCGCCGCGCATATTCATGGGGTAAGTTTGCAGCAGTTTCAAGGATGGTGGGCGGCCCGTTCTCAAAATCGATCTCTCGCGTTAGCACCTCAGTTCCGCACGCATTCTTTTCAACAATCTGCAGCAGTTTCAAAGGTAGATGCCGATTCTTTCAAATTTCTCACAGTGCTTGAAATTGTCAGGACGCAACAGTCCCGTGGGTTCACGTTGTTGAACTCCCAGGAATGATGTTTTGGCACGGTTCAGGATTGTCAGGACGCAACAGTCACGCTGATTCGTGGCATTGGAGTTCCAGGAATTTTCTTTTGAGAACATGTATGGGAATGGAGGGGAGCCCGAATCCTATCAGTTTTTTCCTGGAAAGGGCTAGGCCCAGGGTTCTCTCTTAATCAGTCAACCTGGTGCTGGGCCTTGACTTGCGTAGTGCCGGCGATTTTATTCTGCGACAAATTACGACATCGCGTAGGGCCGGCGAATTAAACAGTTGAGGATGTACCTAGCTAAACGCTGGTTTTTGGAATTCGGGTTAAAAGAACAAATAGAACAAATGGTGAAGTATACATCTTCGTTTGTTGCGGGGTTCTCGAGCGAAGCGCTGGTTTTGCAGAATTCGTTGAGGACTTCTCCAGCGAAGCGCTTGTTTTGTGTTCTAGATTGTTCCTCTCCTGGGGATGATAATTCAGATGCTGTTTCAGATGAAAGACTTGTTTTCACGTGCCCAGGTCTTAGGATTTCTGGAACGAGACGCTTGGTGTCACGCGTCCAGGTTGCCCAGGCGGATGTCTAGCATGAAGATGCGTTGGGAACATCTCGAGCGAGACGCTTGTTTTCACGTGCCAGGGTCGCCCAGGCAGATGTCTAACATGCAGATGTCTTGAGGATGTCTCGAGCGAGACGCTTGTTTTCACGTGTCCAGACTACCCAGGCGGATGTCTAGCAGAAGGATGTGTTGAGGATGTGTTGAGCGAGACGCTTGTTGTCACGTGTCCAGGTCGCCCAGGCGGATGTCCAGCATGAGGATTTGGGCAGGTCTTGAGCGACACGTTTTTTTTTTGTTGCATGAGTCCAGGTTGCACAGGCAAATGTCTAGCATGAGGAGGTATTGTGAACGTCTCGGGCGGTGCGCTTGGTTTCACGTGTCCAGGTCGCCCAGGCGGATGTCTAACATGAGGATCTGTTGATGATGTCTCGAGCGAGACGCTTGTCGCAGTAGAGTGCGTCGCAGTCCAACCCCGCTCGTCCGTGGGGCGTCCCCTGGCGCGCCGGCGCGTCCCCTGGCGCGTCCCTTGCGACGTTCTGACGTGAAGTGCCTTGGCACGTCCCCTAGCACGCCACTCGGCGTGGCACGTTACCTGGCTCGTCCTCTGTCGCGTTTCCTGGCTCGTCCCCAGGCGCTTCCCCTGCCCCTTCCGTGGCGCGCCTCTTGTAACGTCCCTTGGCATGACGTTCTCTGGCCGCCCCATGGCACGCGTCTTGGCACGTCCCGTGGCAGGTCCCTGACACGTCCAGGGCACGTCCCCTCACACGTCCCCTGGCGCATCTCCTAGTGCGCCCCTGGCACATCCCGTGGCGCATCCATGCGCCCTGCGCCCCGTGTCGTCTGGTCCCGCTTCGGAACTGAATCGGATCTTGAGCTCGAGCTGATTGAGCGTCCCACACGTTTCGACTGCAACCAGCTCTGGGCCAGCTTCAAGCTCAAGCAGTTCGAGGTTAATATCCAGATCAGTTTGGCCAGGAATCGGATGTCAAGGACAACTGAATCCTTCAACGCTATGGAGCACAACGCAGTTGATCGCGGCATTACGCATCTCAAGTCAGCGCAGCACAGCACAGTACAACCCTTGGCACGGTACGTCACGATCGATATTTTCAGCACTGCAGTTGCCCGTCGCCCAAGCAGGTGTCTTGAAGACGTTGCCATGCCTCACATTTCTACATTCCTTTCTGGGTTCGTGGGTCGATCATGTTGGGGGCTGTCGGGGGCCTCCAGAGACCCTTTTGAGGTTTCTGGGGCACCTCTTGATGCTTGCAGGGACCTGGAGACCCTGAGACCTAGGGGTGTCCCGGGACTTCTTACAGTCGAGGCGAGGTATAAGATCGAGGTCGGTCCGTGGGTCGATCATGTTGGGGTTCTCTTCTGGAGGCCTCCCGGGAGTCTCCTGGGGGGTCTCAGGGCGGCCTCTATAGGGAGGCCTCGGGGCCATCCATCTTGGGGGAAAGAAAGGGGGGGACGGACTTCCAGCCGTGCTCCAGGGGGTCGTTCGCGGAGCTCCTTTCCGGGCCCTTCTTGGGGCGGCCTCCCGGGTTTTTGGGGCATCTTGGGCCCTCTTGGCGGCCTCGGGGGGCCGTCCTCGGCTTTGTGAGGGCCCTCTTCGAGCGTCTCGAAGTCGAAACAGCGAGAATGGTACAGCCGTTCGAACTCTCGAGCACTTAAATTGGTCTGAGGGGCCGATTTCCACCACCACTACCGTAGGTAGGAGAGGGAGGAGGAGGAGGAGGAGGAGGAGGAGGTGGAGGTGCAGGAGGAGGATGATGCTGCTGCTGATGATGATGATGCTGCTGCTGCTGCTGATGATGATGATGATGATGATGATGATGATGATGATGCTGATGCTGCTGATGATGATGATGATGATGATGATGATGATGCTGATGATGATGATGATGATGATGCTGATGGTGATGATGAGGATGAGGATGATGATGGTGATTCGAGCGGTTCTCGCCGCGTTGAGGCGCCCGGACCCCAGCGCGAGCCTTCAAGGTTGCACGCCGCGGGTGGCCCAGAAACGGTCGACCTCGAGTGATTCGCGCCATCGGAAAGCCACGAGCGTTCAGGGTTGAGCGTTTTTTTTTTTTTTTTTTTCAACCCCAACGCGTTTTCCTGCAGGGACTGGGGCGGCGACAGCCTGCAAACAAAAAAAAGGTTGAGCGATCCACGCGGTGTCAGTCTGGGCCTCCCGGATGGGGTCCGAGCAGGTGGGGTCAGAGGACCGCGACGTATCGCCGCTGCATCGGCGATGCGGCTCGATGTGGAACCCGATTTTCTTCACGTCGATGGCGCCGATGTATCGCCGACGTCGCTGGTGCATCGCCAGTGCATCGCCAATGCATCGCGTCGCCGATACATCGGCGATGCGGCGCGATCCTCCGACCCCATCCGCTCTGACCCCATCCACGAGGCCTCCAGTCAAGAGTCCCACACCGACGCCGTCGCGACGTGAACCCGTCGCGCTGTGGTGGTGGTGTTAAGTCGGGCACGCCCCTCTGCAGGAGGACTGTTTAAAAGAGTAAAACAACAATAGCCTGGAGACTTCTCTTGGAGCGATTCTTGACCGTTTTGGGATATCTTTTGACTGTGCTTCATTTTTCGCCCAAAATCCCCCTGTCCCTGGGATCCATGCCCCCGGTGCCTCCTCATGTTACTTTGCCCGTCCCCCGAAGGTTCCTCGGGTTCCCCGGGTTCCTCGGGCTCCCCGCCCTCGGTGCCTCCCATTGTTAACACTGCCCGCTCCTCGGAAGTTCCTCGGAAGTTCCCCGGGTTCCCCGGGTTCCCCGCCCCCGGTGCCTCCTCTTCTGACTGATCACCACCCACCAAACCACCCCAACCCAACCCGAAGGTCTCGATTTGCCCTCCATTTCCAGTTGGGGGGGTCGGGGAACATCGAGAAAACACATATGGAACCCGTACCCCCCCCAACCCGAAATTCGGGTCTTCTGGTTGGGTTGGGGTGGTCTGGTAGGTAGTCCTCTGACAGGCCCGACCCCATGGGGGTGCCGCCTCGCCCCGCCCCTGCGGGAGGTGGCGAGCTGCCACCCCGGCTGGACCAGCACGCCGGCCGTGGAGGAGCGCGGCGGCCGCGGCCCCTCGGGGCGGGGATAGGGCCTGCGTCCGGGCGGGCCCGCCTGCGGGCCGGCGCGCGTCGCCGCCGCCGCCGCCGCCGCCGCCGCCGCCGCCGCCGCCGCCGTCGTCGTCGTCGTCGTCGTCGTCGTCGTCGTCGTCGTCGTCGTCGTCGTCGTCGTCGTCGTCGTCGTCGTCGTCGTCGTCGTCGTCGTCGTCGTCGTCGTCGCCGCCGTCGTCGTCGTCGTCGTCGTCGTCGTCGTCGTCGTCGTCGTCGTCGTCGTCGTCGTCGTCGTCGTCGATGTCGCCGTCGATGTCGTCGTCGCTATTCGGGGTGCGCAGTTCGAGGCAGGGAGGGGCGGCGCGAACGCAATAGAAGCGCGGGCTGCAAGCTTCGGGGCCCGCTCGAAGAGGGCGCGTTTCTTCGCCCCTGGGCTTACGTCGGGCCTGTCCCTTTACAGATGTAATACACATGCTTTAAACATTTTCAAGACATTTTCCTCCATGTTAAACGCATCTTTAATTCGATGATAGGACTGGTAGGGTGTCCATCGTCGTGGCATCCACAACGCTAGAGGATGGCGCGCCCTGCGTGCAGAATATCTGAGGATGTCTCGAGCGACGCGCTTGTTCCGCAGCGCTTGAAAGGCCTGGGCGCACCAGGATGCCCAGGTGGTTCCAGGAGTGCGGTGGGACCGTCATGTACAAGGGATCGTGGCCCTGGGAGCGTGATGACAGGTGGGTTCCGAACGCCCCTAAGTGGGACAGGCGTGAAAACACGTGGGTTCCGAACGCCCCAGGGCGGGGCAAGCGTGAAACGCCTGGGTTCCGGACGCCCTAGAGCGGGGCAAGCGTGAAAGCGCTCGGGCTCCGAACGCCCCCAGCGCGGGGCAAGCATCAGACACCTGGGCTCTGGACGCCCCGTGGCGGGGCAGGCGGGGCAGCACGCGGGGGGGGGGGCCGAACGCCCCAGAGCGGGGCGAGCGTGAGATCACGTGGGCTCCCAGCGCCCCAGAGCGGGGCAAGGGTGAAAGCGCCCAAGTTGCGAACGCCCCAGAGCGGGGCAGGCGTGAAAGCACTCGGGTTCCTCACGCCCCAGAGCGGGACAAGGGTGAACTCACGGGGGTTCCTAACGCCCCAGAGCGGGGCAAGCGTGAAAACAAGCGGGTTCCCAATGCCCCAGAGCAGGACCAACACGAAAACACGTGGATTCCTAACGTCCCAGGGCGGGCCAAGCGTGACAATACTTCGGTTCCTGACGCCCCAGAGCGGGACACGCGTGAGAACACGGGGTTCCTAACGACCCAGAGCGGCACAAGCGGGTTCCTAACGCTCCAGAGCGGGACGGCGTATGCCCTTCCCCCCCCGGCGCGCGTCCCCTGGCTCGTCCTCTGTCGCGTTCCCTGGCTTGTCACCTGGCGCTTCCCCTGCCCGTTCCGTAGCGCGTCCCTTGCCACGCCCCCTGGCACTTCTCTTGGCGCATCCCCTACTGCGCCCCTGGCACAGTCGCGTGGCGCGTGCATGTGCCCTGCATCCCGTGTCGTCTCATCCCGCCTCACGACTGAGTCGGATCTTGAGCTCGAGCTGATCGAGCGTCCCACATGTTTCGACTGCAGCCAGCTCTGGGCCAGCTATGCGCTCAGACAGCTCGAGCTTGTGATCCAGATGAGAGGGAACACGCGTGGGTTCCTAACAGCCCCAGGGCGGGACAAGCGTGAAAATACGTGGGTCCTAACGCCCCAGAGCGGGACAAATAAGAAAACACGTGGGTTCCTAACGCCCCAGAGCAGGACAAGCGTGACAATGCGGTGGTTCTTGACGCTCCAGAGCGGGACAAGCGTGAAAGCACATGGGTTTCTAACGCCCCAGAGCGGGACAAGAGTGAAAACGCATGGGTTCTTGACGCATCAGGGACAAGCGTGAAAACACGTGGGTTCTTAACGCCCCACAGCGCGACGGCGTATGCCCCTCCCCCCCGGCGCGCCCCCTGGTTCGTCCTTTGTCGCGTTCCTTGCTCCCTGGCTTGTCCCGTGGCGCTTTCCTTGCTCGTTCCGTGGCGCATCCCTTACCACGTCCCTTGACACGTCGCCTGGCGCACCCCCGAGTGCGCCCCCAGCACATTCCATGGCGCGTGCATGTGCTATGCGCCCCTTTTTTTGTCATCCCGCTTCGGAACTGAATCGGGTCTTGAGCTCGCGCTGATAAGGCGTCCCACACGTTTCGACTGCAACCAGCTCTGGGCCAGCTATGCGCTCAGACAGCTCGAGCTTAAGACCTAGATCAGTGTGGTCAGGATTATGATGCCAAGGATGACTTGATCCACAACATTACAGAGCACAACGCAATACATCGAGCCATATCACATGTCATGTCCGCACGGCACAGCACAGCACAAGCCTTGGCATTTTACATTGCGAGCGATACCTTCAGCATTGCAATTGCATGCCACCCAATGAGTTGTCTTGAACACGTAGCCATGCCTTGCGTTTCCAAATCCCTTTCTGGGTTTGTGGGTCGATTGTGTTTTGTTCGACTCGCCCTCTTCTGTAGGAGGTAGTCGCAGTAGTAGTTGAGGCAGGAAGCAGGAAGGAGTCGGAGTAGCATAGCAGTAGCCGCTGAGAGAGGAAACATGGAGGGGGGAGGCAGGAGGAGGGAAGGAGGAATGAGGAGGGCTGCAGGGAGGAAGGAGTTTGTAAAGCGAGCAGAAGTTAGAGGAGGAACGGGTGGAAGCAAGGGGGGAGGCAGGGAGATTGGGAGGGGACTGGCAAGAGTGAGAGAGAGAACGGACGAGGATGGATACTTGTCTGCCCGCTCTTGGGCAGTTTGGCGCATCACGCGCTCCGTAACGGGGCGACCCTCCAAGCCCGCCAGGTGGATCAACACGCGCATCACAACTACAAAATCATTAGCTCGAGAACTGCCGCTGTGGCTTTTTTTTGTTCTCTCTCTCTCTATCTCTCTGTCTCTCCAGAAGCATCCGGAGGGAGGGGGCCAACCAGGGGCGACCCATCGAAAAGGGTGCAGGGGTATAGCACGGTAGTAGATGTTGAGTGTCGAGCCTGTCCACGCGGGGCCGGGCGGCGAGACACGGTGGGGCCTGGCAACAGGTCGTAAGCTTGGGCCTGGCCAGCCATGCTATTAACCAGTAGTTAAAACGATTCGGCTCGGTTTTGGTATCACTGGGACTCGAACCACTGCGCACACGTCAGTGACGATGCCACTCGCTTGAGGCAAGACCGATGGCAGCGCAGAAGGCTCGGGCGTCCTACGCCCGCAGGGTGCACTGACCTTGATGGGCCTGTTTTCCACCACCACCACCATAAGTTGGAGGGGGAGGGGGTCCTCCTCCTCCTCCTCCTCCTCCTCCTCCTCCTCCTCCTCTTCGTCCTCCTCCTCTTCGCCCTCCTCCTCCTAGTCCTCCACCTCCTTCCCCCTCCTCGTCCTCCTCCTCTTCCTCCTCCTCTTCCTCCTCCTGCTCCTCTTCCTCCTCCTGCTCCTCATCGTCCTCCTCTTCCTCCTTCTCCTCCTCCTCCTCGTCCTCCTCCTCCTCCTCCTCCTCGTCCTCCATCTTCCTCCCCCTCCAACTTTTGGGTGGAGGTGGTGGAGAGCAGGCCCACCAGACCCGGTCGGACCCCGTGTCGAGGGCGCCGCGGCGGAGCCGCATAGGGGGCGGGCGCAGGGCAGGGGCCACCCGCCGAGCGCGGCGGGGGGGGGTGGAGGGCACCTGCGGCGGTCGCGGCCGGACGCCGAGCGTAGGTCGGGCACGTGCCTCTACCGGAGGAGTGCTCAGCACCAGTCGAACAGTCGTCGGGCGTCGAAAACAAAAAGGAGAGAGAGTGTGCGTTGGAGCAGTTTTTGAGTCCCGCTCGGCGGTTTTTCGGGTTCTCGTCCGGGCTCTGCCTCGAGGGGGGCGTGCCCGACCTGACGCTAGGCAAAGCAAGCGATGCGCAGCGGGGGCGCGCATCGTGCCGCGAGGTGTCTCGGCGTGCCTCGGCAGGCGGCATCTCTCCTGGCGTGAGGAGGAGGAGGAGGAGGAGGAGGAGGAGGAGGAGGAGGAGGAGGAGGAGGAGGAGGAGGAGGAGGAGGAGGAGGAGAGGAGGAGGAGGAGGAGGAGGAGGAGGAGGAGGAGGAGGAGGAGGAGGAGGAGGAGGAGAGGAGGAGGAGGAGGAGGAGGAGGAGGAGGAGGAGGAGGAGGAGGAGGAGGAGGAGGAGGAGGAGGAGGAGGAGGAGGAGGAGGGAGGAGGGAGGAGGGAGGAGGGAGGAGGGAGGAGGGAGGAGGGAGGAGGGAGGAGGAGGAGGAGGAGGAGGGGGAGGAGGGCGGTCTCCACGGAGCGCATTAGGGTGATGGCTCGCACGGCAAATGAGCCAATTTTCGAAGTCTGGCGCACTTTTGAGGGGACTCTCGCCCGCGGCCAACCATAGAGGCGTCAACCTCGTCCGTGCTCCAGCGCGGGCGACAGACAGCAGTTCGGTCTTGCCACGCTGCCATCGAGAGCCTGGGAGTCCATCCCAGGTCAGCGGCTGTAGCCGCCGTGCCACCGCCCCGCACGGGTCATCTGGGCTGGCCAAACATTGCGCTCACAAGTAGTGCGATCAGGGGGCTTGGCCAAACACATAGAGGCAGGTACGCGCGCGGAGGTGGTGTGGGTAGAACAGTCGGGCGCTGGACCAGAGTAGGTTTTCAAGCAACGCCAAGCATTGCCAAGTAATGACCAGCAACGCCAAGCAGTGCCAAGCAGTGCCAGGCAATGCCAGGCACTGCCAACGATTCTAAGCAATGCCAAGCAACGTTTAGCAATGTGATCGTTTTTTATTCATTGTTTTGCCGATCGACGCGGGCCCTCGCACCCCCTCCTCCCCCCCTCCCCCATGGAGTGGATCTTGGCTGTTTTGGCGCCTGTTTCGAGCAGGTGGAGTCTCCCTCACAGGACGCCCTGCTGCAAACAGTCGCACTAAGCAGGGGTCCGGAGCCAGACCCCCCCTTCCCCCCCTCTTTCCGCCCGATGCCGAAACGCCGAATCAGACAACGTTCACAATGTCAAGTACTGCCGACCAATGCCAAGCAATTGTTTGAATTGCGTTGCTCCGCGTTGCTCAGACCTGATTCGGATTTCATCGGAAGAGAGAGAGAGAGAGAGAGAGAGAGAGAAAGAGAGAAAAAGAGAGAACCCGTTTTTTGAGTCGCGCCGCGTTCATGCTGTGTCGGATCTTCTGGGAACCTACTCGGCGTGTTAAATGCATGGCGTCCCCCTGCAGACCAGCGGATGCGCCGTGTCCGCCTCTGGCGGTTTGCGAAGCAGGGGGAGGACGAGGAGGAGAAAGGCAAGGAGGGCGAGGAACAGCGGCAGCGCCAGATGGAGTGGAAGGAATCCTCGGTGGCGATGTCCGCCGCGGCCCCGAGGAGGCGTACGGCAGTTCAAAAAAGTACCTGGAGCCCATGCGCACGCCTTGGGAGGGTGCCGAAGGCATCATTTGGCTTCTCGTCGCGCCCGCGGAGAAGATCCAGCCGGGCGCCTTCTACCTAGACAGGCGTGCGATCCTGAGCAAACCGCCGGGGGGAGTCGGCGTTGGAGCGGAGGGCAACTGTCGTATCGCACGCAGTCTTTCGACACACTGGGCCCAGCTCACGCCTGCTGCGGCACAGCTCCGTGGCGGAGTGAGCACTTGTCTCCTCTCAGCTCTTCCAGGGACTTTCGAGTTCTGTCCTTGGGCAATGGCTTCGGGCGCACCAAGAACCACCACCTCAATGATGCAATCATAGCCTTTCGTGAAACACACTTTCGAGAGTATCACTTTTACTGGACGTCCAAGCCTCCCCCTCAAGCCCTGTGGACCAGCTCGGTTTTTGAACGCGAGCCTCAGCCGAATTGACCACGTTCATCCACTTCTTAGCCCGGCCGAGTTCTTCTGGGACGCGGCACATGTAGATCGGTCCCAGACCACAGCTGTTCGGATTGCGTCTTCAAACGCTATGCGATCGCTTATTGTTCCAGCCCAAACTCCATCTCAACCTATCCATAGCATGTCGGGCGCTTTATTTGCACAGCACCGTTGTTACATCTCAGGCAGCTGCACGTACATACTCGCCCCAACCTTTTTCGAGGCATTTGGTTTAGTCTAACTTGGCTTCTATGCCCCCCAACTCCCAGATCCCACCCCATTCCGTCTAGAGCCCTTCGGGCACATCATCATCATCATCATCATCATCATCATCATCATCATCATCACCATCATCATCACCAGGATTATTTGGCATACCACCAGCTTAATCATCGCGTTCACGATCGCAACGAAATCATCGACATGTTGCAGTTATGCTCATCGTACGATCTGAACATGCTTTCTGCAGAAGCGTTGTGTGTCCAGCGTTATGGCCACCAAGGCGGCAATGGCCAATGCCGTGTTTTAACAACATTCAGTTTTCCCCAATTCAGCTTTTCCTAAGGGTTCTTATTTGGTTGAAGACTTTGTGTTTCGGGGGGCTACTGTGCCCGTTCCTCGGGGGTTCCCAGGTTTCCCCGGGCTCCCTGGGTGTCTATTTCCAAGCAGTGCCAAGTAATGCCAAGCAATGCCAAGCAGCGCCAAGCAGTGCCAAGCAGTGCCAAGCAGTGCCAAGCAATGCGAAGCAATGCCAAGCAATGCCAGGCAATGCCAAGCAATTCCAAGCACTGCCAAGCATTGCCAAGCACTGCGCCCATGCAATAGGAAGCTTTCCCGTAAGTGGGGTCGTGCAGAGTTGATTATGCAAATGTCGCAGAAGCGACGTTGAATCGAAAGCGAAATTTCTAAATGTCCGCCAGGGCCTTCGCAGTACTAACTACTGATGTTCATTTCAAATTGATCCCGCAGGGAGCCGCAGGTGAAGCACCTGGCAGGGCCGTTCTTCACAGAGGGCAGCTTCACGAAAAACACAAAGCAGGAGGTGGATGCGATGATGGAGAAGTTGAAGGACCTGGGAGCAGCGCACTTGGTGGCGTGGCACCAGCGCCCCCTCTTATATTTTGCCCCCTATGAGGACGTGCTGTTTTGCCCATGGTATCTTTCATACTTGCCTTGTTACGGTGGCCGACCACTTGTCAAATCTGGAGCGAGCTCACCTCGATTGCCCTTCCTCTACTCTCTCATCTTCCCTCCCGGCTCCGTTCTCCATTATTCTATCTCGAACCATTCACATGTCTTGGCGCTGCGCGTATCTCCACCAGCCCATCCAGCAGCCATTCTTTGCGAGGTGTCCTGAGCAGGGTGGTGTAGGAACATGCGTTGGCAAAGAGGGAGGGCTACCGTCCCATTGCATGCATAATCCCCTCTCGGTGTTTTGGGTATCTTGGGGCCCCTAGATAGGGTCGGAGCAGATGCGGTCGGAGGATCGCGCCGCATCGCCGATGCATCGGCGATGCGGCTCGATGTGGAGCCCGATTTGCTTCACGCCGACGTCGCCGATGCATCGCCGACGTCGACGATGCATCGTCGGTGCATCGCCGATGCGTCGCCGATGCATCGCCGATGCATCGTCGATGTATCGGGGATGTGGCGCGATCCTCCGACCCCATCTACTCGGACCCCATCTAGGAAGCTTCTATGAAACCAGCAGTGGCATTGCGAACGTCAGAGAAGCCTTCGAACACCACGGCGTACTTGAGAGCAGGACCACCAGATGCCGAGGGAAGCCAGACCCTGGCAGCACCGCGGAATCCTGCAAGCGTCGCGTGCATGCATATCACTATGCTGGGCCGTGCAAGGAGTGCCTGCGAGCGCCACGGTATGTCGCGGTCGTCCTCAATGTGCCCGTGGGCGCCACAGTATTGCGAAGGCCTTACTGCCGGTGCCGCCGACCCTGAGTGACGACGACGACGAGCGATCTCGGGGGCCTCTTGGGGGTAGTTTGGGGGCCTCTTGGGAGCCGCTTGGGAGCCTCGGGGGGGCCTCTTGGGGCTTCCCGGGGGTCTCTTGGGGGCCTCTTAGGGCCTCTTGGGGGGCTTCCTGAGAGCTGCTACGGCCGAGGGATCGAAGTGTCCGTTCGGGTCCCGGGTCTGGGCTCTCTCTTGGAGCCGTCTTGGGGGCCTCCGCGGCTGTCTTGGAGGCCTCGTGGGCGGTCTTGGGGTCCTCTTGGGTCGCTGTGGAGCTCTCTTGGAGGCCTCTTGGGCCATCTTGGGGCGGTCTTGGGAGGCCTCTTGGCCTGCCTTGGAGCGTCGGGCAGCTGACAAGGCGAGGATGCTGAAATCTTTCAATTATCCTGGCAAAGCAGCCTAACAGCGATGTGTAGGAGCATATCTGGAAGCATTCCCCTTAAGATTCAGATGAGAATCCAGTTGTAGAATTCTGCTGTTCTCGCAGTCGTAGTCGCATTCGCGATGACAGTCGCAGTGGCAACGGCAGTCGCAGTCACAGCCTCAGCCTCAGCCTGCCTCAGCCTCAGCCTCAGCCTGCCTCAGCCTCAGCCTGCCTCAGCCTCAGCCTCAGCCTGCTTCAGCCTCAGCATCAGTCTGCCTCAGCCTCGGCCTCAGCCTCAGCCTGCCTCAGCCTCAGCCTGCATCAGCCTCAGCCTCAGCCTCAGCCTGCCTCAGCATCAGCCTTCAGCCTTCAGCCTCAGCCTCAGCCTGCCTCAGCCTCAGCCTCAGCTGCTTCAGCCTCAGCCTCAGCCTTCAGCCTCTGGCCTCAGCATCAGCCTGCCTCAGCCTCAGCCTGCATCAGCCTCAGCCTCAGCCTCAGCCTGCCTCAGCAGCCTCAGCCTGTCTCGTCGGCCTCGGCCTCAGCCTCAGCCTGCCTCAGCCTCAGCCTGCATCAGCCTCAGCCTCAGCCTCAGCCTTCCTCAGCTCAGCATCAGCCTGCTTCAGCCTCAGCCTCAGTCATGCCTTCAGCCTCGGCCTCAGCCTCCGCCTGCCTCAGCCTCAGCCTGCAATAAACCTCAGCCTCAGCCTCTAGCCTCAGCATCGTAAGTAGCCTGCCTCAGCTCAGTCTCAGTCAGCCTGCCTCAACCTCAAGCATCAGCTGCTTCGCTTCGCCCTGGCTTCAGCATCTGGCATCAGTTCTGCCTTCACCTCGGCTCAGACCTCGCATGCCTCAGCCTCAGCCTGCCTGCCTCAGCCTCAGCCTCAGCCTGCCTCAGCCTCAGCCTTCAGCCTGCTTCAGCCTCAGCCTCAGTCTGCCTTCAGCCTCGGCCTCAGCCTCAGCCTGCCTCAGCCTCAGCCTGCATGAGCCTCAGCCTCAGCCTCAGCCTGCCTCAGCCTCAGCCTGCGCCTGCCTCAGCCTCAGCTCAGCTGCTTCGGCCTCAGCTGCTTCAGGCCTCAGCCTCAAGTCTGCCTTCAGCTCGGCCTCAGCTCAGCCTGCCTCAGCCTCAGCCTGCTTTTCAGCCTCAGCCTCAATCTGCCTTGACACTCGGCACTCGCACTCAGCGCCTGCCTCAGCTCATCCTGCATCAGCCTAGCCCTCAGCCTCAGCCTGCCTAAGCCTCAGCTGCCTCAGCCTCAGCCTGCCTGCTTCAGCCTCAGCCTCAGTCTGCCTTCAGACTCGGCCTCAGCCTCGGCCTCAGCCTCAGCCTCAGCCTGCATCAGCCTCCTCAGCCTAGCCTGCCTCAGCATCAGCCTGCCTCAGCCTCAGCCTCAGCCTGCCTCAGCCTCAGCCTCAGCCTCAGCCTGCTTCAGCCTCAGCCTCAGTCTGCCTTCAGCCTCGGCCTCAGCCTCAGCGCCTCAGCCTGCCTCAGCCTGAGCCTGCCTCAGCCTCAGCCTCAGCCTGCCTGCAGCCTCGGCCTCAGCCTCAGCCTGCCTCAGCCTGAGCCTGCCTCAGCCTCAGCCTCAGCCTCAGCCTGCCTCAGTCAGCCTGTCTCTGCCTCAGCCTCAGCCTGCCTCAGCCTCAGCCTGCATCAGCCTCGGCCTCAGCCTCAGCCTGCCTCAGCATCAACCTGCCTCAGCCTCAGCCTCAGCCTGCCTCAGCCTCAGCCTCAGCCTGCTTCAGCCTCAGCCTCAGCCTCAGCCTGCCTCAGCATTCAAAATGTGGCCTGGGAATGGAGTTCTGGGAGCTCGAAGAACACGAAGTGGCCTACTTGGCTCCGGGCATTCAAAATCATGCCCAGGAATGGAGTTCTGGGAACTCGAAGACCACGAAGTGGCCTACAGTTGGCTCCGGGCATTCAAAACCACGCCCAGGACTGGAGTTCTGGGAACTCGAAGACCACGAAGTGTCCTACAGTTGGCTCCGGGCATTCAAAATCATGCCCAGGAATGGAGTTCTGGGAACTCGAAGAACACGAAGTGGCCTACAGTTGGCTCCAATCATGCCCAGGAATGGAGTTCTGGGAACTCGAAGACCACGAAGTGCGTTACTGCTGGCTAAAAAAGGAGTCCCCGGATTCCCGTCCGGATTCCCGTCCGGATCCCGCCCAGACCCCCCTGGGGAGTCATGATGTTCTCTTTTGACCCTGCTAGAAACCTATCAGTCTTCGCAGTTAGGTAACAACCTAGGGACAATCGACGTTTTTGGTTCCTTGGGGCCGTCTCGGAAGTCCTCTTGGAGGCCTCTTGGGGCGTTTCGGAAACCTTTTGAGCCGTCTGGAAGTTACTTAGGCGACTTGGACCGATACTTCGGCGATTCGGGGCCCTCGAAGACCGTCTTGGGGACATCTTGGGGCACTTTTGCCGCTTCTTGGGGCTTTCCTGGGCCCCGAACCGCCCGGGGGGAGTCGTATCTGCCCCGGGACCCCCTCGGGACCCCCCTCCCTTGACCCTCCCGAGGACCACTGTCCCGGGACCCTCCCTCCCCCCTGGCGGGGAAGGGATCAAAGGGAAGGGGCGCTTCCCTTCGACTCAACTACAACGTTGCTCAAACGGAACAGCCTCTTCCACACGCCGACAGGGTCGGCGGATTTTTGCGAGTGCCCGAACGTGGTTGGCACGGCCACGGTGTGCGCGTTCACCAGAGGTCGAGAGAATCCAGAGCCTGTCATTACAAGAGTAGTTTGCAAGCAACACGCTCGATTTTGAGCACCAGCAGTGCAATGTGGCTGTGAGAACCACAGTATGCCTGCAATCACCAGGTGCTCGAGGGCACCACAGCGTTCGCTTGCGATCACCGGACGGCGAGGATAGCTGGATCCTGCCAGTGCCACAGTAGGCAGCGAGCACTGCGCGTATGTAAACGGCAAGCTTTCAAATTCACTAGCTTACGCCGCACCGTCGACCGCTTTGGAGCCCTGGATGCCACTCTTCCAGTGGGCGTTGTCGTAGAAGCGTGTCGGCGCCGTGCGTTCATTTGGGTAACCGCACACCGTACTCACGACTGGCCCTGTTGGGTTAATTTTTGGCCTACTGGGTGTCGTTTGGGCGCCTTTCGTCCCGGAAAGGGCACAGGCCCAGGATTCTTTTTGTAGGTCAGCTGTCCCTGGTCCTCAGCTTCCCTAGCGGCGGAAAGTTTCTATTTCGATGAATTACGAGGTTGCGTGGGGCCGGCGAACTTATGATTGGGAATGTCTCTAGCGAAAAGCTTGTTCTACAGAATTTGCCGAGGATGTGTCTAGCGACACGCCCGTTTTGCATAGTTTGGGTGTGTCTCGAGCGAAACGCTTGTTCTGCAGAATCCGTTGAGGATGTCTTCAGCGAAACGTTTTTTTGTTTACCTGGCCAGGCCACCCAGGGAGCTATCTAACATGAGTTCGTCAGACTCCTCGCGCGGAGAAATAAGGCACGTGTTTTCACGTGTGTAGGCCATCCAGAGGGGATCGTCCTGCATCAGCGTCTCGGTCCGTCAACTGTCGGTGGGTTCTGACTCGGTTCGGATTCGCCCCTTTTGGGTTCATCCCGTTTCGAAGTTGAATTGGATCTTGAGTTCGAGCTGGTTGCGCGCCCCGCACGTTTCGATTGCAACCAGGTCCGGGCGAGCTATCCGTCCAGACAGTTCGAGCTTGAGATCCAGATCAGTTCGGTCGGTCAGGACTCGGATGCCAAGGACGACTTGATCTACGACGCGATGTGGCACCAACAAGTCAACACGGCATAACGCAGCATTGGTCAGCAAGGCATGGATCCATCGCAGTGTGCCCCAGGGTCGCGGCCTTGGGGGCGCGCATCCCTGGTAATCCACCGTGCCTTATCGGCCCTCGGAGTTCGGCTCCCTCGGTAACATACGCCATGTGGTTTCGTGAGGGTGAGCCGAAGCGTATGCGGCTCTTCCCAGTCTTGGCTCGTTTTGTCCCGATTCGGTTAGGGTTGGTTCGGCCCTCGCCTCGGTTCGTATTGCTGAAGTTCGTCCTATCTCAGTTCGCCGCGTTTCGGTCCGTCTCTTGTCGGTGCGTTTCGCCTCGGTTCGGATTCGCCCCTTCTCAGCTCGTCCCGCTTCGGAACTGAATCGGGTCTTGAACTCAAGCTGGTTGAGCGCCCTGCACCCTTCGATTGCACCCAGCTCCAGGCGAGCTATGTTCTCAGGTAGCCCCGCCCGCGCGCGCCGGCCGTGGCCTCCGCCCGACGACCCCTCGCTGGCGCGGAGCGGGAGGATAGCCATCCCTCGGCTCGGCCGTCGGTCCATGCCTCGTCCGGAGCTCCTGCGCTCCGTCGCGCCGATCGGCGAGTCCACGTCGGTGGCACCTGCGTGGGCTGCGCGCCGTGGCCGGCGGCTGTCTTCTTCCTCCCTCCTTCTCCATGCTGCCTCCCTCTGCCCTGAACTCGGGCATGTCCCGATGCAGGAGGAATGTTCAAACGCAGTCAAAACAGGAACCGGGACCGTTTTTTTGTTGTTTTTGTTTGTTGTGTTTTGTGTATGTTGTTGTTTATTCTTTTTTGGTCATTTTCAAAATGTACATGAATATTAGTGATAATTTTGGTTGCAGCTGTTCAATTATATATATATATATATATATATACATGAGTTCGTCCAACATCCGCGTGTAGAAGGACGTGCCCGACATAACTACGCTTCTTTCCTTGACCCTCTGGTGGTGGCGGCGCGCGCAGGAGGCCGGGGCGAAGGGGTAGCTCTTGGGGAAGGCAGGGTGCCCCCCAAAAGGGTCAGCGGTTTCCAAGAAGGTTTCTCCGAAGGCTGGAAGGGCTGATCGTCACCCCCCGCTGCCTCCTGGGTGGGCTACCCTCTCACGCCCTTTTTGTTGCGTGCCGCTATTGCCTGTTACGCTGCCTTCGGGCGCCTGTGTTCCGCAGGGCGCACCTTTGCACCGCCTCCAGGCGTGGCCAAGGCCATCCTGCTCCGTAGGATGGCCAGGGCCCAGGATGGCCCTGGCCGCCGGGCCTGGTGGTGGTGCATCGGCGCCTTCTGCGCATGTGTCCTCCCTTCAGGAATGGTCGAGCGGGGGCAGGTCGGCGGACCTGAAGGCGTTCGCCGAGGCGCAGGTACTGGCGACAGAGGCGCGCACCGCTCCGCTGGCCGCCATGGAGCGGCCGATCGATATCGAACGGTGCCCGGGGATGATCACATCACGTCTCCCTGGTGTGCTGGAAATGGGTACGAGGCCCTGTTCGGAAACCCCAGAACAGTGCAGTGACCACGCCGTCGTGCGAGTCAGTGGGGATTCGGGGTTCGCGCGCAGTTTTGGGACTCGTGCCGTTCTCCGAGGATGGCCTCGGGCGGACGCGGCCTCCGAAGTCCCAGAGCCTTGCGGTGACGGACAGGGCGGCGAGGTCTTCGGGAGTTCGAGGTCGCCGCGCGGTCTGTCATTGCACTGTTTCGGGGGGGCCCCAGCTAACAGGGGCCAGCCAGACCTTTCGGAACGCGTTCCACTACTCGCATGGCGCCTAGTCTCAAGTGTCCGACAACAACATTTTTGCCTCGACCCAAAATCCTCCGCGGCGGTTCCAGGCCGTTTGAGAGTAGTTTCTTTGTGAGTAGTGGAGCGCCCTTATCTAAGACCAGAGGATCTTTCAATTTCCCGCGCTACGTCACCTCGGCGTGGGTGCCGCTGCAGGCCAAACGCTTCAACATCAGTTGTGGCCAACCCCGGTCGGCATTGCCTCTGGCCCTTTTTTGAGCGATCCCCCCAGACGTTTTTTGTTTTTTGTTTTACTTTTATAAGACATTATCTATTCAAGAGAAAATAATGTATACATGAATCCAGTGCGATGGCCATGACTGTTCAGGAGGTCACACTTTTGAGGGGCCGGTCCGGGCGCTGCTGCCGCCCCACGTCGGCCCGAACGCCGCGGGGTCGACAGCAGAGCGGGGCCAGGAGCCGACGTCCGGTGGATCCTCCGGGCCACCGGGGCCCTCTGCTGCCTGGGCCCTCTGCTTGGACCGCAAGGGCAGCGGCTGTGGCCTGTAGGGCCTTCGACCCCGACAGCTGGGCTTGGGCCAGCTGGAGCCCGAAGGAAGGCAACGCCTCCATGACAGTCGGCCTCATCGGGCCGTCAGTCGGGGCACCCGTTTGGGCCACCGCGGAGCACCCATGGGAAGAATGCCCAGTCCAGAAAACTATCTCGGACTCCGCGGGCGAGCTAAGGCTACCAGGCAGCCCTTTCCCGCTCTTGGGGTGCCTGCAGTGCTTGATTCTGGCGCTGCGACCCGTGATGGCGCTGGGGAGCGGGCCTCCTGGGCTCCTGGACAGCTGTCCTTGAAGGCCTCGGCCCTTCTTGTCCGAAGCATCTCCTCCGCACGTGGAGCAAAAGAGAATGATGGAACTACAGTGCCGTTTTTAATACATGCTCCGCATGCGGATCATGTATAAAACATGCAAATATTTAGTGCTAAACATCGATGAGTTCATGCATACATGTATTCATAGATGAGTCATGTATTAAGAATCCGATATGTTCAAAAATCCCATGTATTAAAAACTGCCCTGTAGACGTGGCGGCCATTTTCGCATGCTCAGTGGCGAGGCGCGGCGCCGCGAGCCAGGCGTGCCCGCGAGCGCGCCACGGACCGAAGGGCGCCGTCGGGCTCGGCGATCCTCGGGCTCCCGCCGGTGCGGAGGGAGCTGGCCGCAGGGGCGCCGTCTCCTTCGTCGGACTCGTCAGCGGGCCACTCACCCAGATCAGTCACATTGGGAAGGAGGAGGTGGAGGAGGAGGAGGAGGAGGAGGAGGAAGAAGAGGAGGGGGAGGAGGAGGAGGAGGGAAGAGGAGGAGGAGGAGGAGGAGGAGGAGGAAGAGGAGGGAGAGGATGAGGCGGAGGAGGAGGATGAGGAGGAGGAGGATGAGGAGGAGGAGGAGGAGGAGGAGGTGGGATGAGGGAGGAGGGAAGAGGAGGAGGAGGAGGAGGATGAGGAGGAGGAGGAGGACACGATACGATACGATACGCACACCCTTAACGCCATATTGTCTGATTGTCTTATGAGTACTGCACTCACTCATCTTCAAAAGCGCGCAGCAGTGGGCCCTGAACATTCAAGACTGACTGGAGGCTATGTGACGCGGTGAACGAGGGTCAGGATCGCGGAGGGAGGGCGATCGAGGATCGTAGAGGGAGGGGGGTCGTGGGCGCAAGCGTATACGTATCGGCGGCGTCGCGGGCCGGGCCCCTGGGCCGCGACCCCGCGGCGCTTTTTGGCGGATGCCCCGCGCGGAACGTAACCGTGCGACCGCGTATCCGCGGGATCGCGCCCGGGAATCCAGACCGCGAGGGCGCGGGTACGGATACGTTCGCCGCTCGTGATACGCCCGCCTGCCGCGCCCATTTGCGCGCGTCGCCCCCGCCCCCCCCCCCCCCATCGCCCCGCCTTTCTGAGATCCTGGCGTAGCATTTTTTTCCGCACCTGGCCCGGTTTCTGGCCCCTGGACTTTCGCAGTTCGACCTGGCTCGCGCACGTGGCGCAGCTGGGGACCCGGGGCTTCGGTCATGCTTTTTTGGACAACGTTGCACTCTTTTGCAGCGTCGGATCTCGGGGTCTCCGAGGTTCATGGGTCGGTGGTACGTCATCTACAACATCCCGACCCCCTTCGACAAGGGCACGGCGAACAACGTGGAGAACTACTCTTACGACGCGGCGAGCAGGAGGGTCGACATCGACTTCACCTACACCGACATGTCGTTCACGAAGACGTCGCTGCTGAAGCAGCGGGCGACGGTGAAGAACACCGAGAACACCCAGTGGTCGCTCTCTCCCAAGATCGGGGTGTACCTGCCCACGTCCATTCCGTACCTGGTGGCCGACTGCGCGGAGGATTATTCGACCTGCATCATCGGCGTGCCCGACCGCAAGTACATCTGGGTCATGGCGCGTACCCCCGAGATCGGGGCCGAGGAGGCCAAGGCGCTGACGAGAAAGGCACCTGGTTCAAATCAAAGGCAGCAATCGCAAGCATGAGCAAATCAATGCAAACAGACAGATACAACTCAAACGGACAGGCACAGGTCCTCGGCTACGACGTGGCCAAGCTGGTCACCGTCCCCCAGAAGTGGGCAGAGGCGGGGGCGCAGAGAAGAGCCCCTCCAGCCCAACACAGCCTATCCGATCCTGGGGACCTGCTTCTCTCGGTCATGGATCTCGGATCGAACTCGGTTGGTTGCGTTGCATCTTCGGGGGGCCTCGGCTGTCCCCCAAATTGGTGTCTTCTCTTGTGCCCGACGCGGGCTCGATGCGGACTCGACGCGGATCTGGCGCGGATCCGACGCGGATCCGACGTGGCTTCGACGCGGATATGACGAGTCCGGCATGAATTCGACACGGATTCGACGCGGAGAGGGGCGCGACGGGACAGGCAGGGTCCCCCGAAGAGGAAGCGGAAGGCTGGATTCCCGAGCGCCACGCCGATGCATCCGCTCGAGACAGGAAGCGCTCTGGATGGATCTGGGGAGGCCGACTCCTCGGATCGGATATATGTGTATATATATACATATTCATATATATATATATATGTAGGTATATATATATATATCTATACCTATATCTATATCTATATCTATATCTATATCTATATATCTATATATATATCTATATATATACCTATATCTATATCTATATCTATATCTATATTATCTATATATATAGATAGATATACGGTCAAACATCTGATCAAGAAAACTATCAATTAAAAAACGCTGGGCCAGCCTTCCAGAAGTTTCTCAAGGAAACGCTGGGCCAGCTTTTGGAGCCAGGAGCGTACACTACTCATTTCTAGGGCCCAAGGCTACCAATCCCCTTAAGAAGCTGAGCCAGCTTTCTGGCAAGTTGGTTAAGAAACGATGGGCCAGCTTTTCGGGGGGGGGGTTCTTAATCATAAGCGGGACCGTATATCGTCGGCGACTCGTCCTCCCTAGGCCCTCGGCGCTCTGAAGGTGGTTCAGGGGTTGTCAGGGGTAGCCTTCCCTGAGATCCGACGTAGAAAAAACACAGCATCGTAAAAAGTCACGCCGGGCCGGGCCCCAGATCCCATCTTTCTGCGCGCCGTTCTTCGAGCCGGATCGATCTGTCAGGGTCCCGGGGCCCGAACAGAGGCGAAGACCACCGGCTCGAGAAAATCACCAGGGCCTCAGGGTTGGCCCAATGTGACCTCAGCTTTCCCTGAGGCTTACGTCGGGCCTGTCCCTCTACAGGAGGAATATTCAAGAATAGAGACAAATAGTCTGGGGACATTGTTTGACCATTTTGGACTCTTTTGGAATCTTTTTGACTCTTTTTGACGTTTCCTGGAGTATTTCCTGACGTTTTTGGGCTATTCTTGGGGTATGTTTGGGCTATTCTTGACGCTTCCTCCAGAATCCGCCTGTGGGGGGACACGCCGGACTTCAGGGGGGAGGCCCCGGGCGCACTCCTCTGCCGAGACCGCGCCCGACGGTGCCGCCTCGCCCTGGGTGCCCCCCCGGGGTCGGGGGTCTCCGCTAGGGGGCCACATGCGAACCCTACCCCTACCCCCCACGGTTTCTGAGGGGGAGGGTGGGGTTCACTTCGTTCGGAAGCTCCCGAGCGAAGTGAACCCCACCGCACCGTTGGGCGGAGGGTTCCAGGAGGGGGCCTTCGGTGTGGTTTTTTTTCCAGGAGGGGTCCCCCTCAGGGGCTTCGCCCCCCCTGCTTCGACGAGGTTCCGAGGCCCCTGGGGGGCTCTCTGGAAAACCCCTTCCCCAAGAAGCCCCCTCTGCCCTGATCTTCCAGGAGGGCTAAAAAATAGCACCAGGACGTCGACGTCCTAATTCCTGTGGAGGTTTGAGGCAGTCCAGACAGATCTGTAGGTCTGGAGTGCTATTTTTTAGCGCTCTGGAAGGTCAGGGTGGAAACCCCTGGGTTGGAGCGCTGCGGACGGGGCCTCGCTCTCGAGAGCTGCAGGAGTTGGCGTTGCTTCCGCCGCGGAGGGGCGGCGGAGGGGCGGCGGGAGGCGGCGGAAGGAAAAGGTGCGCCCCCGACAGATTCGGGAGGGGAAAAAGCACAGAGACACAAATAATCGTCGACTCCCCAGAAAGTATGTGAAGATATGGGAAGTGGGGAGGAGAAGAAACCCAGAAGATACGGAAAGTATGGGGGATCCTGCTATCTGTGTCAACTCGTTTGTGTGTCCCAGGGCCCCCTCAAAAATGAACGCGTTTTTGGGTTCAGGGTTTTCGGAGTCGGACAGGTGGTGCCGTCCTGCCCTGCCACCACGGAGTCTCCCCTCAGGTTTGGCAGCTCAGGGGGCTTCGCTTCTTATGGGGTCCCTCTCGTCCGACGCCTCACTCTGTTGTCTGCGTCGTGGGCCCCTGGGAACCTCGGCCTCTTTCCTGGGGCCGCTTTTTCGTCCCGAGTGGATTTTTGACGGTACTGGGAAAAGGCTTCAGGGTTCGAACCGTCGATGTCAAGTCCGCCACTACTGTGCCGACGTTCAGATCTAAGGAGTTAGGGCTGCCCCTCGGTGGATGACGAATGCGGCCCTTGTGGATACCATAACCGGCCTTGGGTGGATACCCACAACGATCCGAGTGGACACCGAAACCGATCTTGGCGGATACCGAAACCTCGCATCGGTTCTAGGCCTCCCAGATGGGGTCAGAGTAGATCTGAAGTCGCAGTATCTCGCCGCATCGCCGATGCATCGGCGATGCGGCTTGATGTGGATCCCGATTCTCTCCACGCCGACGTCGCCGATGCGTCGCCGACGTGGCCGATGCATTGCCAATGCATCGCCGATGTAACGCCGATGCATTGGCGATGTGGTGCTATCCTCCGACCCCATCCACTCGGACCCCATCCAGGAGGCGTTCATCAATTGACACCGAAACCGCAGATGTCGTCCAGTGGGGGAAGCGCCCCTGGACCTGCCCGAGGAGCCCGGGGAGAGGGGAGGAGGAGGAGGAGGAGGAGGAGGAGGAGGAGGAGGAGGAGGAGGAGGAAGAAGAAGAAGAAGAAGAATAATAATAATAATAATAATAATAATAATAATAAGAAGAAGAAGAAGAAGAAGAAGAAGAAGAGGAGGAGGAGGAGGAGGAGGAGGAGGAGGAGGAGGAGGCCCTTCCTCCTTGCCACTCCCCGCCCGCCCCGGCGCTCCTCGCCGTCCTCCGGTCGCGGCGCTCGCGTGCCGGCCGCGCCAGGACCAGACGGCCGCGGGCGCCTGAGGCCCGGGGGTGGCCCCTCGCGGGAGTGCCGCCCTCCCCCCGGGCCCACAAGCGGCCAGGGCGGAGGCTCGCTCGCGCCCCGCGTGAGGATGTTCGAGCACGGGCGCGCGTGCCGTGGGGGCGCGCAGCAAGAAGCCATCCGCTTTTCGTCGGGGCATCCTGGGTTTCTTCGCTCCGCGCGCGCCGCGCGGTGGCTTCCCGCGGCCGGGGAAGGAGCGGCTGCGTTCGGGGTGCTCCAGGCTTCCCGTCGGGTGAACCTTGCGCACGGGTTCTCAGGGTTGGGTTTCTTGCGATGGTTTCTCGCGGCCGCGCCTGCACTGTAAGCGATGTGGAAAGGCGCTCCTGCGGCCCCAGGGAGGCTCAATCTCTTTGGCCTTCTGGAAGTACTCGTAGGGGGTCCAAGGGATGCCAGCCTGGAGGCGCCGCTAACGCCGCGCCGGCAATCCCGTCCTGAGCGACGGAGGCACGGCGCCGTTCATGAATCCAGGGGAACCGAACAGTGCCATGAACATCATAACTCGGAGGTCCGCGCGGATTTCTCGGATCGGCGCCGGGGCCCCCTGGCGGCGCCTCCGGCGCCGCCCCTGGCGCGCTCCGCGCGCCGGGGAGGGGGGTCCAGCGCGGACCCAAGAAGTCCGCGCGGACCTACGAGTTGCTACGCCTACGTAGGTAGGGAGGAGGAGGAGGAGGAGGAGGAGGAGGAGGAGGAGGAGGAGGAGGAGGAGAGGAGGACGAGGAGGAGGAGGAGGAGGAGGAGGAGGAGGAGGAGGAGGAGGAGCAGGAGAGGGAGGAGGGAGGTGGCAGGAGGCGGCGAGCGAGGGGAGGAGGCGAGAGGGAGAAGGCCTTCTCAGAAGGCGGCGGGCTGCTCTGAAGGCCTCCGGCCTTCTGCGAGGTTCGGGAGGGAGCAAAAACACACACAGACACAGTTAATCGTCGATTCCAAGGAAAATATGGAAAAATATGGGAAGTCGGGGGGAAGACAGAAACCCAGAAAATATTGGGAAACATGCGGAATCTGTTTATTTGTGTGTATTTAATTTGTGTGTCCTGGGGCCCCTTCAGAGGTGTCCGTGTCTCTGGGGAAGGCTCAGGAGACCTCTCGGTAGGGCAGGGTGCTTTCGAGCCTGCTGGTCAGGGGCACTGATGCAGGCCAGCCACAGCTGCGGGCGCTGTCTTCCTTACCCCCCGGGGGGGCCCATCGATTGCGACACCCCTCTCGAGAGAGGTCGTCGAGGCGATGGGTTCCCCCAGGGGGGCAAGGGCCACAGCTCCCCCAGTTATGGCTGGTCGGTGATCTGGGGGCCAGGCACAGGGGGGGGATGCATCGAACCCTAATGGCCCACTGATCGCCGACGCGGGCCCGATAGCCCCACCCTGCCCAGCAGC